AGCTTCTCCATGTATTTGCTGTTTTTTGGAATCTCTGTAGAAGACACCATTGAGCGGCTCTTTTTCCACAAGAATTGTCTGAAATAGCATAAAGATACAGTACTTAGGGTTAGGAAATTTCTTCTGGGATTGTGCTCTGCTTCACTTTCTTCCTTTCCATTTCCCAAGCTGACAGATACCCAGCGATGGATCCCAACATACCACACTACACCACTGATGCCATCAGCACTCTGCAAATATATCGGGGGTAAAATTACACAAATAGACAGAGGGGGATATGTCCTTGCTACCAGGTAAGGATAAACACATGCTTGTGTTTCTGATATACAGCTATGACTAATTTTAAATACAGATTTATTTTTTCTGGAAATCCGTGGAGTAAGACCAGAATTTATGGCTGTCGTCCCTGTTCACTTGGCTGGAAAAAAAAGCAGAAATGTTCTTTCCTTGTTCTATGAGCTGGTATAGACATTGCCATAGAGGCATGAAGAAACGGCAAACCTTCCCAATCCCACCCCACCAATTTCAGTTTCTGTGACCTCCTGCTGACAGTGTACAGCTGCGCATTAGGAAGTTCATGGCCTCGATGTATGGGGGCTGAGAAACTCAAGTCTTCTTACAAATTACATTTCTGAAACGAGCTCTTAAACATTAAACTCAGAAAGACCTACAAAAAAAAAGTGTTCAAGCATTTACTAATTTGCTGCCTTCAAGGTTTTGCTGCTTCAAGGTCTCATTCACTTAGTCAGTCAACAAGAGCCCCACATTAAAGGACATTTAGGCCATGACTAATTTATTTAACAATTACTGAGTCAGTATCTCTGCTGTGGTGCTTCATACAGCTCATCTATTCTCCTGCTTCCGACTTGGGAACATTTTCTTCTATAATTATCATTGTGTTTGACCCATACTACATGGACAAAAGGAGTTGGGGAACTTCCTTTCTAAGCATCAAGAATCACAAAAAGTCCAGACAAAAGGAAGCAAAGATTTTATTGACATTTCTTTACACAGAACACAAGCTACACAAAATGCCACAATAAAGCATATGTAGAAAAATAGTAGAATCATATTGGCACTGATGACTATTCATTATTATTATTATTTTTATTATTATTATTATCATCTTATTATACAGGTTTCATCATAACCATAATAAATAAGCATTAAAATTTCACAGTGGCATTATAAGCTTTACATTCATGATCTTATTTATACAAGGGACCATGTCAGATTTCTTCAGCTTTTTTTGTATGATCATGATTCAAAGTAGTAGATTTAAAAATTAAAAGCCCTTTCCCTTAACCTATAAGGATCTGTCCACATGAATCCATTGACTTGATCCCTTGGAGAGGTCTGCATTTGTCTAAAAAGACGTCACTTTGAAAACAGAAATGACCAACTGGAAAATTGGCCTCAAAAATAACCCAGGACGTTTGCTGACTTCTGGTGGTCTGACTGTGAGACGCCGTGAATGGCACTGGCTGCCGTTTGCCAGGATCCTCACGCTGCGTAAACTGCTTCTTCAGGTTAATCCACACCAGGATCTGGCCCATTATATCAAAAAGTGCGTTTGAGCAGCATTTCTCAGGATCAGACCTTTAGTCAAGACCTTGTGAATGCTGTTGAGTCAGAACCTACATTTCAAGAAAATTGATTTGCATCTCTGTTTTTCCTAAAATGTCATGGAATTGACTCAACTTCATTTGTTTCCACTTTGTGAGTTCAGTTTTGGTTTTTTTTGATGTAAGTCTCACTTAAATCTTGACAGACATAGTTAAAGAAAATTGAAGTATACAGCAGTTGACAAATGTTCATTAGGGAAAGGGAAGTAAATTAGAGAGAGGCAGAACAGAGTGTGTGTTGTAAATCTCGGTGTCTTAAATAAAGAAACAGCGCAGATTTTCCAAGCTCACAGCCTCTAATTATTGCCTCTTCTGTCTGATTTGAAATATAATTTGCGAGAAACGTAACTGCCTCAATCAAATATAATAATGTATCGTTTAAAAGTGCAACCTCTAGAGTCACACGACAGAACCAGTGGTACTCACATTCAGACCACAGAAATGTTATAATTGAAAATGCCATAGACTGCTCGTCTGCAAAGTTGAGTTCAGCATAAAGTTCCTGTCTTTAAATCCAAATTTGCAGAAGAAGGTTGTACCTACTGTTACATGCACCGCTTACATCATGCATATTGCTTGTCCTCAACAACCAGCCTTAAAGGAAGTACTTGGATATATCTCTGATTGCTGCCTGTCTGCACGACCATGGGCACAGTCACCAATGTCAGTATTTTACATCCACTATGCATGGGTACAAATGGTTAGTAAATCCAGGGCTCAGACTCTTGATTTTTTATAGGTTTTTTTTATGAAAAAAAAAAATACTGACCTCCTGAAAATTGAAATTAATTACTTGAAACTCAGCCCAGTAGTATTTGTCAGTTTCTTATTTGAAAAAAACATATTATTTATTTTTAAAACTTTTCTATCCTTGTCCTTGATAGCCAAAAACTGTATGTGTGCTTAAAGAAAACCACTTTCAGAGATAATTACTTGCAGGAAACAGTAGGTTTTAATTCTAAAGGAGAATTCTAAGGGAGATCTTATAATTTCATAAAATAAGTAAAATATAACTCTTTGAAACATAGGATAAGGACCTTCACAGAATTGTGGTCCTGTCCACTGAATTCTATTCCACATGTCAAGTGAGGAACAGTGAAGGTCCAATTTTAGGTGTTACCTTCGCGCTGAGAATTAATCTGTCAGAGTAAGGTGTTCCATTTGAATAGATACTGTACAACAGAGAAGCACTTTCTGATGACATTCCTAACTTTAATTCTTCAAAAGTCAGAGCCTGATTTTGAGGATTACAATGTTAATATACCTCAAAGAGAGTTTCATCATGGTTTCCAAGACTCTCAAACCAAGACAATGGTTTATCAAACCAAATAATTGTGTTTGTGCGTTGCATACAGGGAAAGATATGACATTGATCAAGACCTGCCTCACAGTTACATTTTATTTGGAATATAAATCAGAATTTTCTACTTTTAAGCGCCTGACTGCAAATTTGCAGCGTTGAATAAGAGAGAGGACAGGATTTGTCTATTTCCTTGATTTGCCTAAATGAGAGACCAATTACCATAAGCTCCCTCTAAACAAGAATGAAGGTCCCCCAGCAGGCAAGTCTTCCCAGTTAAAGCTTGTACTCCTCACTGAAGGTAATTCTGTCTATAGAGAAAGTTTAATTTTCTGATATCTCAGATGTTGGGGCTAATTATCTAAGCATAAGTGGAAATATGGAGATTTAAGATCAGATTTTTTTTTCTAGGATTTAAGCCTATATTAAGGGATTTATGCAAATGATTGAGACCTTAGTCTAAGACTGGCTAAAAACCCCCACAATAATAAAGGGATTCATCGTTCAAGACCAAGAAATCCAGTCCTAGGTTAAAATGCTCAGCATTTAAGAAAGCTTACTATTAGAGACAAATCCATGTAACAAAATATAGACATAAATTTCAATTTATTTCTGAACTTTGTGTTTTGAAATATACTGATCTGTGTTTTGATTTTGACCCAATACTCTTCCCAAATATACAATCATATTCCAGAAGTATTAACTTTGATGAAGTGGATAGGGTTTGGGAAAATATTCTTTTTGCTTTCTTTGCCATTACTACCATCTTGGTGGGGTTGACATGATAGACAGAAGGAGCATTTTCCCTGTATCTTTGCTTTCTCCCATCCTTAAGTCTATTGTAGCTGTATCTGGTTTCTTACTCACCTGGAGACCCTAAAAGGCATGGGGCAAAACACCAGTGTATCTTCTTTCTTGGCAAAACAAACACAATGGAAAATAAACATAAAAAACACTACAGATTGCTAGTGGGGGTTTGGTAGAATTTTTCCAGACATGTGGTTGCAAAAGAGTACCGTGTCTTGTCTAGACTGATCTCCCTCATAACAAGATTTAATGGCAGAAAAAGGAAATAGCTGATTTCCCAAACTAGATGCATAGTCAAATATATGCAAGACTAAAAGAGAAGTGGAAAGCTGATAAATCATTGGTCTATAAGCTGAAAAATGAATGCTTGGTTAAAAAGGATGGATGTCAAGGAAAATTAAAAAATGGCAACAAGCTTCCTGTCCCGGGAGATAGGGCAGCTCGGTGTGACATGTTGCATCGACCACGGGAACCATGGAGGTAGTAGATAACACACATCAAATCCAAGACCTCAAGATAAGATTAGTTGACTAAAGGTGTGCCAAGAGGGTGACAAATCACTGCACAAAATAATCGCTCTCCTCCCATGAGGTGGATGAAGCCAGGAAACCGCTCCTTCACAGGAGCTCTGGAGGATAACCAAAGAAAACTCCCCCAAAAGGAACAGAAATCTGTTAGATTCAACAGTCACCAGCGGCTTTTGAGTACGCTACGACATACATAGACTGCATATGGGAACATACATTCATTACATATGTGAACATAACATACATTCCATAAGGGAAAAGGTATTTTGTGTACATATACATATGTAGGGTATACCACACATGTGTCATATAAGAACTGCATTTTGCATTATCATTTTAGCCGAAAGTGATGACACACGTTGGATCAAAAAGGTTCTCATACTCTCTTTAACCTTTCCAGTGCAGGTACCTGCATATATGATGATGTACCAGAAATGCCTTGACATCTTTCCATGGTTAGGAATGATGCAGGTGGCCTTATCCATATAAAACCAGTAAAGAGTAAAAGAGCATTTGGGACGGGTAGATTTCCACTAGCACTTAGGCTTTCAGGAAGGAATGAAAAACTTCTGAAATTAGTTGCTAGAAACTGCTATGAAAATTGAAATATTAGGGCTTTCAGCAGCAGAAGCTGTTGTACTTATTAGCGTAACCCCATTTATGGGAAGTATAGAGTAAGCGAGGCTGTCACATTACTCAAACCACCCACTGCAAAAAAAAAAAAAAAAAAAAAAAAAAAAAAAAAAAAAAAAAAAAAAAAGAGTTGTTCAAGACTGGACTTTTATGTGGAAGAGGATTTTTTTGTTCCTTTGGATAAGCTGTTTGTGTTTGTAGCCGATAGGTTTCAAAGACTGAAAAGCACGCTGGATTGCAATAAGTGTAGTTCCATTCACTGTGTCACTGTTCCATATTTTCAGAGGCAGAAGCTACTTGAAGACGTGCAGCTCCGTGCATGTAGCCAATGGACTTTTGGCACGGATATGTATGTGTGCAAATCAGTTTTGGACAGATGTGGTTAAGTCTGCTACACAGATAATAGGATCTTGCAGCATTTTGGGCGAAAGCAGAGAGCTCAAGTTTCAAAAACAGAGAAATCAAGTTTCAAGGTTGTAACAGAAGTTAATTTAGTCTGACCTTTTGCATAAGAAGAGTTTATACATATTTATTCTTTATGGTTTTATCCTGTGCAGGGAAGGACTGACTCATCTGCATTTAAAGCAACTCTAGGCTGATTAAACTGTTTTCACAAGCTTTTCTATTCAGTGTGTGAATTCCCTTCTTTTAGGGAAGTGCATATATATTACTTAGTCTTATTAAAATAGGGAAGAAACAGCAGCAGCAGTTCTTTCAAACCAGAGGCTGTCAGGAACCAGCACACCATTGACCTGATGATCACAAGAAGTGTCTTGCAAGGATGGAGCAGACTCACATCAGTCTTCCTCATTATCCATGCCTAAAGCTTACCAGCCACTAAGATAGCCTCAAATAAGATATGCAAAACCAGGAGGGAAATGATTAGCACACCAGTGAGCCTGCCAAGGGTGCAATGAGGAGCCAGATGTATTGTGTGCTGAAATAGAGGCCCATAAACAGTGGTGGTATGCCACGGGTCACAACACTTTGCCCTTGCTGGTACAATCACCTTAACCAAGAGAACACAGGAGCAAGAAGTAAAGTTGAACTCACAGGGCAATGTAAGATGGAAGCTTGCAAGTTGTGTCAATCAGAGCTCTTCAGATTAGAACCTGATCTAGGAAGAGGATGTGATGAGAATCGACAGCCAGTGAGCCCTCTTGCGCAGGGAAAAGGTACCAGTCTGCACCAGAGCTGTCATCCAAGAGGTTTGCCAGTACCTGTAGCCTCCTAAACCCAGATCAGGGATGAGAAACTGGAAAGGGCCAGCATGGGCCGTCAAGAAGGTGAGGTGCCTAAGCACATGGCTTCTGAGGAAAGCTTGAGAAGACCAAGTGACAACCTAAGAGCTGTCTGCAGGTATTAAAAAGAGATTTACAAGTCATTTCCCAGTGGAGGGAAATGTCAGAGACAAGTTGCTCTCCATGAGATAAAAAGGTAGTATAATAAAAGGTAACAGCAAGATGTTGCAGCTTAGAAAGTTTGAACTGGATTTTTAATTACTTTTTTTTGAAGGGGGAGTGATGTACAACAGTTGATAAGATAATCCACAGTAGTTGGAGTATGTTCATCACCAGATGTTTTCAAGACTCAGCAAGACAAAGACATGGCTGACCTTAACACTCAGCTATTTCAAACGCAGAGGCAGAAAGGAAGAGATCTTTTTTTAACATGCAGAAAACACCAGAGGAACCTACAAATGCTAATGAAAACTTGGCTTGAATTCCCAGTTTTCATGTCGTCTTGCGAGAGCTTTCTCTGTCAAGCGTGTCTCTTCTCTGGCAAGTGAACAGTGAAGAGGATCGGTCAGTGGATATTTTTGAAGTGCTTTGAAGTAAAGTAGTGCTCAGTATTCCTGTTAGTAATTTCCAAACCTCTGTGCTAAGATTTCAAGCCTTTAGAGCTAAGCAATTTCAAGTTCCTCTCTTGCCAGTGGATAGACCTGATTTTGTAAACAAATTAACAGTTTCATTAAAGAGAAAATGGGCATCTATTGGAGGCTGGGAAAAAACCACATTTTCTGCCAAATTTTAAAGGAGCCTGATTTATCTCTTTGGAGTTTGTTTTTTATTAAGCTGGACAGTCAAATCTTGCACCGAAGCTGATGGTTGGAGATTGCGTTTCTCTCTTTCAAGTACTCCCTAGAAGTCCATGTCTGAGGATGGTGAGACACTGGAACAAGTTGCCCAGAGAAGCTGTGGATGCCCCATCCCTAGAGGGGTTCAAGGCCAGGCTGGAAGGGGTTTTGAGCAACCTGGTCTGGTGGGAGGTGTCCCTGCTCAGGGCAGGGGAGTTGGAACTTGATCTATAAGGTCCCTTCCAAACCCAAACCATTCTATGATTCTATGATTAACCTACATGTCCCATTATATTTAAAATTCTGTAAACAATTTACCAAGGTAGAAGTAAGCTGTGATATGTAAGTGTAGATGGCACTAAAATGTTGAGGCCAAAAAGTGGCCTTGACTGGGCCTTGACTTCCCAGACCAGAAGTGGGAACCAGAAGTTCTTGATTCCTGACAGAATTTATTTTTTAACTGGGTAAATCCAGCTTTTAGCTTTAAAATGTCAATTTAAACGGGAAAAAAAAGGAGAAAATAGTGTCTACCTATTTAATTCAAATACTGAGGTAATATGTTTAAAAAAATTGCCAATGTTAAAACACACGATGTAACTGTTTCTATATGATTTCTGCCCCTTTGAGGGGAAGATGATTTTTAAGTGCAATATACCTTCCTATTTACTGGTGAATAATCTTTTGTTCTCCTTTCCATTTTAAAATCATGCCTAGATTATCAAACCAGCCTTGTTCTTTAGCAGCCTTTACCAGTTTGCTAGCAACTCTTTTCTTGAATTAGCTCTGTGTAAGTTTTCCACTTTTTCTCTTAAAAAATTTTTTTTTTTTACTTTTTGCATGTACCAATATTTCCCTGTGGTTGTGAGGTTTTTTGTTTTCATTTTTTAACTCTCTTAATTCAGAAATATCCACTATCTTAGTCTTGATTTACTGATGAGAGTCTTGATACCTGAAACCATGTTTGTGATCTTTTTATAGTCTTTGTCCCAAGATATAGAGGGCTGGTCATTCATGTTTTTAAACAAATTATGTTTGCATTAAAAAATTGCCTGTCTTCCAAACAAAAATAATTGTGAAGAATTATTCACTTTCTCTTTTTTGATAAAACTGCTATGACACTGAAAATTTATCAAAATGGTATGAAAATGTATAGAAAGCTATTGAAATTTTTCATATTAAATCTGATAACTTTTTAATAGACATTTTAATTAAAAATTTGGGGAAAAGGCCACTAAAAAAGTGAAAAATGAGTTCTTTTCTGACCTCTTAAAAACAATTTGGATATCTTTGTATGAATAAAGTTTTAAATGTTTCAAACTGTAACCATATAATAATTAGGACTGTGTATAGCTCTGCAAATGGGCATTTGTAAAGCTTTAATAGAGCACTGCAGAGGAGCCTAAGAGGACATTCATTATAATTTTGATGTTTTCCACAGTCCTTACTACTCTGTGTCTCCAGCCTATTTTCATCTGATCAACCGGGGAGCTTTTAGGGGTATGACTGCTTAGATTTTGAATTACATATCAAAGTAACAAATTTTAAAAAAATAAAAATTTTGTTGGGGTAAATGTACTTAGATACAAGTAAAAATTGTACCTCTAAGGTGATAACAAGCACAATAATGATCCTCTATAAATGTAAACAGAAGAAATGCTAAGAGATGCCACTGACATTTCACAAATAATCCTACAGAATCCTCTTGGTTTTGTAGCTTATAACTTGAACCAAATTCTTCCCAACATAAAGTTTGGGGTTTTTCAAAAGACAAATATAAAGTTTTCTTCATTCTAAGTTAAATATTTCACTCCTTTCCGTTATCTGAATGTATGTATGTTACAAATTATTACCAGTAATGGAACCATCCTAATATTTTCTTTCAACAAATGGAAACACTGAAACTTTCATAAATGTTTTTCAGGCTTCTCAGTTCATCACAGAGGAGGTTTTAACCTGAGTTCATATATGCTTGTTTCCTCTTGTGTCAACTACCCCGAAAGTGCTACAAATGTATAGCTTTGTTAATAGGTAAATAAACATTAAATCAAGGACAGCCAAGTTCCTGGGTGTATTCAGGAGAAATGGGAATCATATAGATCCAATCACATTTAGAGAATTAGCCTTCTTATTCCGATTCTGTACTTCAGAAGAGTCTCATGTCTTTATGTGGACAAAGACCATAGAAACTGAAGAGGAATATTTATTTCTTCCAAAAGCACCAATATTTGGAAGCTTGAACGCCTTAAAGCCATAGCACTTTATTCTCTGAAACAGAAATGGAAATGAAGAGTTTGAAAGTCCCACCTGATCTCATTTCTAACACTGCACTCTTTTGGCAAAGGGATTCTCTTCCACTCGATGAAAAGTTTTGCCTCTGTTATCCCGTACTTCAGGCACTATTTGAAGTAGTTGAGTCCTGCCACGAGGAAAAACTTCTCCAGGAAAAGTTCAGAGTCCAGCACGGCGATGTGGGCAGCTCGGCCTATCAACGTGTTGGCCGTGTTTGGCAGAGCGTGGAACACGTTGTGTCTTATCAAAGTGCAGTCCTTCGCCCCAATCAAAGGCTGGAGCAGGTTGTTAATCATTTCTGCATAAACGGGACCTGCAAAAGAGTTTAGATGTCACACCTATGTGACAAAGCTGCAGCATCCCCTCTTTCCTTACAGTATCGTTTAATCACAGTCACAATGAGAAGGAAAATGGAAAGAAAATACCAAAGATTTGCCAAATGCTATGATGTTGTTAATCTAATGGAGGCATTGGTTATCTGAAGAGGTCCTCTGAAGCTGCTAGCATGAAGAGTGGGACACTCCTCAGCATCTAGTCTCATCTCCTCTGTGGTGGAAGGAAACACACTTGTTTCCTTCAGGGGGAAAAAGGGTTGGACTCGTGCTGCATGTGAATTCCATTGCAAAAGGGGCTGGCAAGACACAGAGGTCCATTCTCTGGGGAATCTAACGCATCATGCAGAGATGAAGAGCATCATGCAGATAGTTGAGGAGCTGACAGGGAAAAAAACAATGGCTCAGGAAACTTGTACTCATAAATGATCTACGCTGAATGTAGATCCAGGTCCTGCTAGGCTCATCTCCCTGAGGAACTGGAGGAAAGTGTTAGAAAATTACCTTTTAATTCATATCTGAGGTAGGGTAGAAAGAGCTGTAATTTAAGTAAGATGTGTGAAGGCAACCATGTTGATTATTTGGCCTAGGTATCTCTTTCTGCTTCCAAAGAGTACCTCCATTTCTAGGTGATCACATGTGTGAAACGGGTATGAAATTACACTGAACATTATTTCTGGAAGTGGTATCAAACAGAGGCCATGAAACATTTTATAAATGAGGGAGGCTGCTAATAACAAAGGCCAGACTCGGGACAATACACAGCCTGAGCTCACAGGAGGGCTAGGCCTCTGATGGCACGATGGGCTTTACAGATTTTATTACAAACCAATATAGATCTGTCCCTGAAATTACCTGGCAATCATGTAAACACTATTGAAAACAAAGGGAAAACCCCCTGAATTTGGATGTGCTGAAAGAGATTTCATTTTGTGAAACAAAGGTAAGACAATCCTAGCGAGTAGCGAGTCAGTAGACTACAGAAAAACATTCCTGTTACCATCACTTTAAAAAAATAAATTAGAGGGAAGGGGAAGAAGCAGTAAGAAACCTTTGATTATGACCTGATTGAAAATTGTTTTCATCAGACAAAGAGCTTCTTAAAGAGCTTCTTTTATTGATTTCAGTAATTTCCTGTAGGAAGAGAACACTTTCTCTCTTATCAAATAAACATTTGAGTTTTCATCATGCTGATGAAAAACCCTTGTAATGCAATGATCTCAGTTACACAAAAACATCATTTCTCAACAACTTTATAAATATAGAAAGGATCTTAAACATACCTGTGTGTCTGTCCTTAAGTGCATTTTTGCACATTTCTATTCTTGCAGAATGAAAGGGGACATATCTGTCTTGGGGTGAGGCCACTAACACAACATTTTTAAAGTACTGAAGACCTGTGGCAAATGCATTAAATACATACAGTGTCAGCATGACTATTTCCTGTTCAAACACATTTGAAAATCTACAGTGCAAAATAGATTATAAGAATTAAAACATACCACACAAGCTTGGAAAGACTCATAATAGCTTAAACCCATTTCTGCTGCTCCTGAGAACTATTTGTTACTTGTCAACACTCATACAGCTTAATTGTATGTCAACAAAAAAAGTAAGAACTGTCTGCTCAAAAAATTGTTTGATTAAAACCTTAATCTTGCAAATATTTGTGCCTCTTAACATTGGAATCACATGTACAGCCCCACCATGTCAATGAGTGGTTTTGGATAAATAAGTGTTCATAGGAATGGGGATCACATTAAAAAATAACACAACAAATTACTACAATTTTCAAACAAAACAGAGAGGGAGGAGGAACCAGCTTCACTGCTGTCATACTACTACATCAGTGTTGAGGGAACCTTGGGATCCAGTCCCTGTATTCAGCAGGTCCTTGATAAATGCACACTGCTGGTACATGGACTGGAAACCAGGAATCCTCCCTCTTCCCTGGAGGCAATGGGGCCACTGATGGACTCTGAATACAGGGTCCCGCTGTTCACCCTGTCAGGCAAACCCACCCGTGTTCAGCCAAAAGGGAGAAAAACAGGCACAGATGATCTAGTCTACTAGTCCAGAGAGTATCCTGAACACAGAAGAGCTGTTGGTTTGACCTTCATCTTTCCCTCCTCCTTATAGGAAACCAAGTCCTTTGATTTCCAGATTTTCATAGAAAAGTTGACCATCGCCACCACAAAAAAACCCCTTCTGGCTGCCTTTATTAAGCCTGGCTGAAGCTGTCTGTCATTTTCTTCTTGTGCAAGCAAACCAACTGATTTTGTGACTTGAGTCTTAAGTAAAAGGTCGGAGAAGCAGAAGTTACAATATCTAAAATCTCATGTGAAAAGTTTCAATAAGGAATAATGTGGGTTTTTTTTTTTCTTTAAAGACAAACACAAGGGATATTTAACAAGACTGAAAAGTAGCAGGGACTTCCACTTTAAGAATAAAGTCAGAAACTGATGGAGTCTTAAAGAGTTATCTGGGAAAGGAGACACAACACTGCCTCTGATATTTCTCCCTGTAGGTTCTCTCAATGACTTTGGGTGCTAGAGTAAGGGCACCTTTATTTCAATTCAGTATCCTAGCTTACACGTTCACATCCAGACCTACCTACTTCAGATTCTGACTTTACAGACAACCCTCTTCACATTTAAATCTCTGCTTTCTGCTTTTGCAAGGACAACACCTTCATTTAGGGTTCCTTAGATCTCCAGGCTACCAAGCTAATGAACAACGATTCGCTTTGACTCACAACACATGCTTAGGAATTCTTTGCTTGGGAAGTTCTGATGTGAGCTTCCTGTGTAGACCCAATTTTTTTTTTTTGAACATGACAGCAGTAAAGCAGATACCAACTGTACTCCACAGGAATGAGAGCCAGGGAATCAAAAGTAAAACTCAAATACAGAAATTTGTTATATGCAGCTTCCTGTCATTGATTATGTCATGTAGTGTGTTCATAGAATTATGAAATAGCTCTATGTCCACCAGACCAAGAATTAAGAAGTTATATTTACCTTAACATAGTCTGTTTGCTATTAGCAATAAAGCAAAGTATGAGTAAATAATTAAATATCAAGCAGTAACTTTGTGACTACACACTTAGCACCAGTTCGCTCACACACAATATTAAAAATAACTCTTAAAAGAAACCATTTACTTGAACAGAAGGATCATGCCTGTTTTCTCTTCTTAAGAAAGCCTGACTTAGTTCATTTATTCATGACAGACCAAGAAGGATAAAAAGATCTCTATTTAGACATCATTTTTCCAGTGTGAGGCCATACATCTCTCTTTGTAGTACAAAGTTGTCAAAATAGACATGAATAAAATTTTCTCTTCAGCTCACAGAGTCATATTTCCTAGAGACAAGAGCTGTTAAACTTAAAAAAAATAATAAAAAAGGAAAAATGGTTTTCATCTAGTAGCATAAATTAAGCAATGGTGGCCTGTCAAGAATGATATTTCTTGCTTGCAGAATATAAACTTATGTACATGTTTACTGCAGCACAGAGGTCGTATTCGGTGCTAACAGTTTGCCAAATATTTTCACTGATAACTGGCACAGAAAAAATGCACAGATAAAACAGATATTAGATAGAGCAGCCCTTCTCAAAAGCAATGATCTTTAAAGAAAGATCATTAACAAAGTGCAGGTTTCCTTTACTCCCTGGAGGACCTGGCAAACCATCAGAATCCTTTGGAATAGCCCTTGATATTTGCACAGCCACATCAACCCCTACTCACCCGTTTTTTGGCTGAGCTGATAGAGGAAACACTTGCGCAGATCTGCATTGTCCCTGAAGGTCAGTTGCAACAGTGACCCTGACTTTTTCAACTTCTGCATGAGCCATAGACCTGGAATGAAAATCAATGCTTATTTTTATCCTGTTTGCTAATTACCAACCAAGGGGATTAAAGACGTGCCTGCAGTAAGGGCAGCGTTGTAAGTCGATGGAAGATTTTGCTTCATCTTGTATTGTTAATCAACAGGGAGAAAAGTATAAGGGTCTCACTTATTTTCCACATCGTGGCAGCACAAATGCTCAGGAAGGTTCAACCATGAGACACTGCATTCTCACAGCACTATAAGTGTCTTCTCTAGCCTTGCAGATGCCTCTCTTTATTGGCGTTATACAGTGTGAGCAAGGTCATCCTTCACTGCTGCACACCCTTTGGCTTCCCAGGGAGCACTGTGCTGCACCTTGTAGTAGATACTGAAAGCCCCTCTCGTTGCAATTTTTTTCTGTGTGGGTTTGAAGTCTTCAGCAAGTATTTTCCACAACTGCAGTGTACAAGTCGTGTTGTTACGATTTATTGCTACCTCCACGTGTTGCTGTCTCATGCACTCTGCCACGGACTGCAGCTACTCATAGGTCTCCCACGAACTCTTACCTGTACTAACCAAGGTACTGTTGTTGTAAAGGGTTCCCAGGTGAGGCCCGGAGAGGGACAGGAAGGTGTGCAATTTGTTGAGGTAATAGCGAAACCTGGGGCGAGTTAGTACCGATCGAATAATCACGTTACCAAGGGAATGTCCAATAAAACTGTTGGGAAGGAAAGAACTACATTAACACAAAAACCACCTGTATTTTACTTAAATTAAACATATGACTGGCATAAATTGGTCTTGAGGGGATTCTATCAGGGTCTAGTCACATTTTCACATCTTTTTCAGCCTAGTATATACTCTTCCATCTATAACAATGTAAAAATTCATTTCACCAATTCAATGGCTTTTGACACAGGTCACTTCTGGAAAAGTTAATTTCACTTTATGTTGCTCGTGTAACTCAAACAGTTCCAGACTATTAACTATCAGAACACTTACCTTATTCGGGATATGGAGAGGTTGTACAATTGGATATGCTGAATAATTTCATCCAATAATCGGTCAGTCATTGTATCAAAGTCAGCAAAAGTATCAGTCTGGTGAAAAATGGAATAAAATAAAATATATTGCACTTATTGCAGACTGATGTTATTTTCAAAGCAAAATGCAAGCGGAAACACAATAACCAGTCCAGATTTTCTTTACACATGCTCAAGTGGGTAGCAGAGGGGGAATTTTTCTCAGGCTCCAGGTCCTCTAAAAATTGAAGTTCTCCTTTGAAGAGAGTCACAAAGTTTCACTTTAAGTTTATTGGCAAATAGCTTCCAACTCATACTGCAAACTTACCCAAGCCAAGTATTTTCTTTCCGACAGCGCATCGATAGTAACAGCAGACCATGGGTCAGGATGGGTCCATTAGCTATTGTTACAGCCCATGTGGAAATTTACTGCCTTCAGTAAGCTAGTAGGTAAGGTAAGGCAAAATTCTTTGACTCTCTATTGTGCCTTTTAGCTTCAAGAACACAACCTCAGAATATAATTTAGGACTAGAGGAACCAGACACTTTGTAGGGCATGGAAATAGGGCCCTCTAGAAGGCAATTCCTATTTTAAGGGGATTAAGTTACTGCCTGTGGTTGCTCCTCTTTCTCTACTGACTGCCCCTAACTTCAGCACGTCATGATAGGATAAACCCAGACCTACAGTTTATTAATAGTAAGATTAACAATATTAGGCTGAGTGATTCCAGAGTCATAAGTATGATGTTAAAAATAACCTCACTTGACACTTGTAAGAACTAGTAATGCTCATCCACTCTAGACATCATACTCTGCACATGGAAAAAAAAACCAAACTTTTGACATTTAGGATTTAAAAGATTACTACAATAAAATAGTTTACAGCGTTATGCACTGACACACAGCTTATGCTGATGCTACAGATGTAATCACAAAATTATTTGGTCGTCTTAATGAAATGCTGTGTGTTTGTTATTCAACAGTTATCAGTAAGAGAATGAGCGCTAGAGAGAGACAATTTGTTGCTTGCAAGAGTACTGCCAATTGTGATATAATAAAACAAATAATATGTTGTCCAGTCTATAAGATTGTACACAGATCTTATTCAGAACTGTGTCATTTGGCAATCCAATAGGACTCTAAATCAAATTCGTAACTAATGAGATGCCACAAAAACAATCATCAAATGTTGGAACAGCTATTCAGAGCAAACAGATCAGTAATTAATGCTTTTGTGACACAATTCATCTTGCTAATTGCAGCTCTTGCAAAGGAAAACATGAGCATATTCACTTTCCAATATGGCCTTCAAATAAATGTTCTCATAAACTACAAACAGTCCACTAACCTCCTGCCTGTTTGTTTTGCTTTTGTTGATAATTAATGATTTCCTCCTAAGCTCATTATCCCAAATCTTTCAGGTTATTTAGAAGTAGAAGAATACCAGCCTGAACATTAATCATAAACAAAACACATCAAGCATCATATTTCACCTGGTTATATCTTCATCTTTCAGTATCATCTCAGCCTGATTGAGTTTGTCAAATGTATCACAAATGAATGCTTAAAAAAAGTGATTTTCATTTTCTTCTATAAGTCAAACTCCAGTTAAATGACAGATTCTTGGGTCATTTTCACTGTGGTTCTCAAAGGAGGGGAAAAAGGTTGATTGGATGCTTTACAGCATCGAAATAGTCATCAAACCACATGGGTCCAATTTCGATGGGAACTTCGTAGCCTTCCCAAACTGTAAGAGCACTCAAAGTTCCTATAACAGGCTCTGGATAATGTTAAATAGAGATGCTGTAAGATGTTTCAGCCTGTGAAAGTACAAGAAATGGCTTTGATGCAAGTCTGAAGTGGTCTTCCCATTATTTTCATCTTGTTCATGTTCACTGTGCAGGTCTGCTACTGTGCACTTCCAGGTGTGCACTGGAATGTGGCAAGTTCACAGCCTAACACCAACCAGCCACTTCAAAATATAAAAGCTTTTGAACAAAGGAGGTTGGAAAGTTTTGACTCAAGCTTCTCAGCTGCTCATAAATCAGAATAATGTTTCTGGCCAGGCACTGGAAACTCTTATTTTGTGCATAAAGTTAGGCCTCTGTGTCATAAATATGGGTTCACCGCAGAGCAAAGCACAGAATTCATTTCTGTTTCTCTGCCTAGACTAGCAATGAATTCTTCTGGAAGACATTTCTTTATCATTTAAGGAAATAAATCTCACAAACACTGCAAAAGGAGAAACTACGGCTGATGCAGCAAAGGAAGCTGACAACACTTGCTGGATATTTCATATTCTCTGGAGAATTTAGCATCACCAAACTTTCTGCTTTCTGTCGGTGCTGTGTTTCCTGGCATCAAACAGTCAGAGGCACGAGGCCATTAAGTTTGCAAACTGACAGGATAAATTGATTTTCTCCTTCTAAGGTCTAATCCTGTAAGTACTAATGTCATTGCCTTTGACTTTAATGCTAGGAATATTTTCTGGTGGGTCTGAGCACCCTATCAAATTAGACAGGAACTGGAACAGGCCTTTGCACTAAATACAACATAAAATTCCTCAAATTCCCCAGTGCTTTTGCTTCATTCAGCTGGTGAAAAGGCTTTGCTGAAGGCCCCGTTTCAGCAATGTCAACAGTGTGTAGGAGATCTAAAGGAGGACAGAAATTAGCTCTGTACTACCTGATTTCTTTCAGACATTAGGAAGTCCAGTTTTCCACCAGGGAGTCCCAGTTCTATAAAAGTCTTTACCAGCCGCAGATCTGCACTGTTACCTAGAAATAAATGGCACTTTATAAGACGTAATTCAACAGAAAAATAACTAATATAGCTTCAATTTAATACTTTCATCTTCCTATAAACCTTGACACCAGGGAGCTCTTGCGAAGTGTGCTGCTCAGACAACTCACCACGCCATAGGATCGTGCATCGAAACAGGGGGAGAGCAAGAATAACCACAGCCTGCACAAGGTGGGGCTGGATCCCCTGCTGCTGGAGACTGTATAAATGGTGGGAAAGAAAGAATAACTCTGTCTCCTCTTTGCTGAACAGCAAAGGTAAGACAACAGGACCAAAAGCTGAGGTCTGTCCTTCAGCCTTCGCAGCTGGTGAGGCTCCCATCGGACTCTGCAGCCCTGCCAGGGACCTCGGCACACGTGCCAGGGTATAGGCCTGTACCTTCAGACGTAGAGTAGCCTGACTCTACAGGTACTCTACAATTAGAGATGGTGCTGAAACACTTTCAGGCTCCTAATATTTTGGGAGGTGCCCGATTCCATAGGAGGAAATTCAAAAGTCTTCTGAAATGTTTTTTTGGAAAATATTTGGCGGAGAGAGTTGGGGTTGTTCAGCTTGGAGACGAAAAGGCTCTGGGGAAACCTTTTAGCCCCTTCCAGTACCTAAAAGGGGCCTGTAGGAAGGATGGGGAGGGACTCAGTCAGGTAGTGTAGCGATAGAAGAGGTAACAGTTTTACACTGAAAGAGAGTAGATTTAGATCAGACAGAAGGAAGAAATTCTTTCCGGTGAGGGTGGTGAGGCACTGGAACAGGTTGCCCAGAGAAGCTGTGGCTGCCCCATCCCTGGAGGGGTTCAAGGCCAGGCTGGATGGGGCTTGGAGCAACCTGGTCTGGTGGGAGGTGTCCCTGTCCATGGCAGGGGGGTTGGGACTAGATGATCTTTAGGGTCCCTTCCAACTCTAACCATTCTATGATGTCCTGTGCAGATTCCTTGACCTTACTTTGTTTTATGGCAAAACCATCTTTCAGAAGGATTTGGACTATTTTCTTCCCCTTCTCAAAAACTTCTTATGCTGTCTTACTTTCTTTAGACCCTCCATTTTTTCATACTTGCTGAACATCTGCTCTTTTTTTTTTTGTTTACACCAAAATGACTTGCAAACAGCAACAGGATGGCCTTACCATCCAATCCATGGACACAGACAACCAGGTGAATTCCATCTTCCAAATTTTCTTCCTCTTCCTCTGGTGGAAAATATGGGATATCAGAAGCTAGTACAGATAAGTCACTGTACAGAAATCCTTCAATCTTCATTTCTTTTTTAAATTTTTCTTTGGCCTGATAAAAACTGGAGAATACATTAATTAAACACAATAGAACTGGGTGTTCAAAAACAAACCTTCAAACGAGAAACAAGGAGCCTGGTATTTGCAAGAAGTTATATTTGCAGGTTTCAAATAGAGACCTGGATACTATTCATTATCTATTCTGATTGAGAGAAATCAGGATGCAGGGAAGAAAATCTGTGTCTCAGTCATTTGTCTGCATACAGGTAATAGCTAAAGCCTATTAGCACCTCACACCTGCCAGAGGAATGAAGGATTTAAAATACCATTTTCTGATGGTCCATAACAATGAGACTAAGATACAGAATTAGCAATTTTGCTTCTTAACAATGCCATCAGCTTTAAAGATACTGAAGTGCAACATGTATCATTTTGCTAGCATCAGATGCATTTATAGGCAGGTAGAAGGTGTTCTCCCTGTTCCTCAGACTGTGGAGTTAAAGGATGCACCTCATATACTAGATATTTTTGGTTTTGTTTTCCGATTCTTTTGAAAACTTTTAGTAGCTACAAGGAAAAGTAGCTCAGTGCTGAAAGAATTAAGCTAGGCCCTACAATTTGGCACACACAAATTCACCCTGAAGCATTCTGCTGGCTGAAGATGCCAAACTTCAGTCGCTTTTAGGAATGTATAATCACAAAAGAAGTGTAGAATTGTGTAGAAAACTGGAATGAACCAGGTTATGAGATATAAACCTTTAAAGGTTGGGGATTGCTTAAGGCCACAATATAATGGTGAGCAATTATTTACATTAGTTCTACTACTTTAAAGGGACACAAGAACAAAAAATCTAGTGTTCTGGCCCCAGACCTGGAGGCCCTGGGTTTATTTGCATGAAAACATGCTTAATTATTTTGCTTTACAAAGAAGGAGCAAATTTTGTGCTTAGATTAAGCAGAATTTACAGCAGGGTCTATAAAAGGAACCTCAAGATGCTTTCAAAAAGTAAAAATAAATCCTTGGGTCATAAATGAATGCACATGCAGAGAGCCAATATTTTGGGTGGCTTAATGGGCTGAGAAATTCCCATGCTACAGTATCCCCTCAGCACAGCAGAGAGTCCAAAATATAACCAAAGTATACACATGCTGTGTGTCAAACTGTGAAATGGGCCACTGTGACATCAAAGCCATGATGTGGAAGTTTTGCCATGGGCAATGAAACAAACAGAAAAAAGGGCCTCTTCTCCAGCTACCCAGGATGCCAGTTCTCTCATTATCCAGTTTGATAAACTGAAGCTGAAACCCTACTAGTCAATCTTGGCTCCTGTTCCATAGTTTAGGTAATGAATGCAATTATTGAAGCAGAAGACTAAACAAGCTACGGCACTGCCATAGTGAACTGTCTGGGATCAATACTCAGGTCTGGGTAACCTTGCCTTCATGCAGGAGGGCCAGATCTTAAAGATTATTTAGGCACCTAAATCATACTGATTTTCATGAGGATTAAGGACCTAATGTCAGTCTGTGTTTTCATCCTTTCTGCCTATTTGGATTATTTATTCTGTATAAACCATTTGTTTGTTTGTATTTATTTTAGATGAGCGAACGCAGGCTCGCCATATGATTACTCTATTAGGGCCCTCAACTTTGTCAGGGTATCTTGGCATTACAGTAACACTAATGAAGAAAGCAATTAGACATTCTTACTTCAACATCCTTTCATTGGTCTCTTCATCCACCTCATTTGAATTCGAGGAGACAACTCCAAAAGAGCCCAGAGGCTGGCGTGTGATGGGGAAGGCAGCCTGCTTTGCAGAGAAGCCGACCATAGCAGGGGTCTCTTTGAGCACAGAAGAAAAGGGAAGACACGTGGCTGTGCAAGAGACGGACAGGTTGACCACATCAACAGCCTTTCTGCTTTCCAGGGCTACTCCCTCTGTCGTCGCTGAATGAAATCCGGTGCCGTTAGCTACAAGTTTATGCTCTTGGCTGTTGGGTTCTTGAGGATGTTCAGCCTGGTAGGATCCTGCAGCAGGGTCTGATGAGGCAGGTGAGTCATTGAGCTCAATTTCTTGCAACCCCTGCATTTCTGCATACACTGCCGGGCTCTCGTCAGCAAGAGAGCTACCACACTCTCCTTGCATTGAGCCAAATTCGGTTGAGGTCTCTGAAGGAGCTGGAACAGGATAGCAAAAATCTGGTACCAGCTTTATGCTTTGTGAGAAACTCTCCTCTCCTGAAATTCTGCTATTTGAGTAAAAGTCTTGTTGTGTTTTTAAACTGTCCGCCTTAAGTTTATCCTTTGGATCCTCGATGCATGCATCAAACTTACCTATATTTTTGTCCAAGTAATTACAAGCCCTTGGTGTTTTTAAGTTGCACTCACCATTGCTCTCCACTGACTGGCATTCGGAGATGTTATCTCTGAGCTGCTTTGCACAAATGGGTGGTTTTGCACTTCCCAAACTACAGAAAGTCTCTGGAAAATCTTCCTTCTCCTCCTCCCCTTGTAACTCAATGTTACTGCTACCATGTTCGACAGAGGGTTTGGGATGTCCTCGTGGTTCCAGTTGTCCTCTTCCAGTGGTGATCTGACACCCAGGAAAGTCTACGACTAATTGCTCATCCTCACCATCTGTTTCCAAACAACTTTTTAAGTTTCTTCCTGAATCTCTTGAGGATACTTCACCGTGTTTGGATATATCCACTTCCTCTGCAGGCTCTTCTGGGCTACTGATCTGAGGAGCTGAGACAGATTTGGTCAGCTTGGTTAGCTCTACTTCCCTCTCATCTTCCTCAAAGGGCAAAGAGCTAATGGATGTGAGCGATGCTTGGATCCCACTGGGCAAACTAGTATTGCTTTCAGTGTGGCCACCCTCCAGGGAATTTCGGTGGATGGCGTGCCTCCGTATCAAGTGGTGCAGGATCTCTCGATCGCTGGGCAGCTCCAGTGCCCGGCTACGAGCATCGGACCACGCCACCGAACTTGGTTCACTTTCAATGCCTGAATCGGATATTATAGAGGAGGATCTTTTTATAACCCCTGACATCACGGTAAATTCTTCACACTCCTCACCTCGTTGCTCCTTTGTGAACAATTTCACTTCAAAGCTGTGCGCGGGCAAAGTTTTCACAACAGGGAGCAGAGCCTTGGTGTCTGGATCTCCTGCTTTTTCAAGACTGGTTAATTCATTCAGCGCGAGCTCAGATGAGGTGAGATTATTCTCAGATTGACTAGATTCATCTGTCTTATGTATTTCAGTCCTGTCTTCCAAAACATCAGTTCCACATGCTCCACACTCATACTGAGCACTGACAATTAACATGGGCTCACTTTTGTGGGAATCCTTATTGCTAGGTTTCATATCTTTACAGACAACATCGGCCACAAGTCTATTGTCTTTTAATAAAACTTCCTCGGATGTTTTAAAGTCTTCTGATGTGCATTCTGTATTGCCTGGCTCCGAGTCAGAAGTAGTTTCCTTACTTAAAACAAAAAGACTTTCAGGTTTCCTTTGGCCTTCTTTGTTCACTATACATACCTGAGATGTGGAGTGCTGGTTTAAACCTTTAGCTGTATAATCAGCACCTTCAGTGCCACTGTACATGCAAGAGGGATTCCCATTTATCCTGTCTGTGTGTATTATCAGAGTACCTTTCCCAAAGTCTCCTTTCATTACTGCAGCAGCATCATTTGATGTAAAATCTTCGTTGTTACCTATTGCATCCATTTGGGTATTTGCAGGAACCTCAAAATCTGGGAAAACTTCCAAATTCTGATCTGAAAGAAAGAAAAAAAAAGAAGTGCTACTTCCAAGAACGCAACAGAATACCCCACCATGATGTGGAACTTTGAAAAGTGATTGTAAGGCCTAAAAAAGTATGTATATTTATATTATAGAAGTTATGCATACATTAGAGGCATATTACACAAATGCCAGAGTGCATTTAACTAGAATTATACTCACTAAACTATAAAAATATAATTTCCTGGGTATAATTGTATCTAAACTGCTAGTTTCTCCATCATAGGTAAGGGAAACAGAGCTGACAATTCTTTGTACTCCTGCTGCCACACGACATTGTTCATAGTACATCTCTTATCTCTTGCTTGTGCTTCAATTTCATATCCAGTTTAATAGTTTAAAAATTTGTAATGAGTACTGTTAAAATTTATGCAGTTGGATAACTCTGGAAGAGAGCAAATTTTGGACCACAGGTCATATTTATTAGACTATGGTCACCTATAATATTAAATAAATATTGTTTCCTTGCTTTTTAATAGTTGGGTAAAAAGAAAAAGGGAGCCAAGGACCATGAGGTTTTAGTAAAAATCTGCAGAACTAAATATTTTTTTAATTAAAAGTTTGATTTGGATACACAAGGGAAAATATTTTTTTTTGAAAGCAATGCTGCCTTTCAGGGACAGTGTTGGACTTTATGCTGAAATTGTGGGGTTTTGTTCTGAGATTTCTTACCACTAGATGTCACACTGGGGATGAAATTCATAGTGCTGTTTTTCCTTTAAATTTGTACTGGAACAAAAATCCAAAAGATTTTGTTTTCTTCCAAGATTTTGCCTCCAGCTCTTGTAATTTAACAGCTTACTTTGAAGATGAAAAATACGAAGATACAGGAAATACTCTAGTTTGCTACTAGGGAAAACAGAAGAATTCAACTATATCATGTAGTGGATCACACACTGATCCAAGCCAGAGTCAGACCAAGGGCTGTGAAATTGCTTACCTTGAGCTGGGGAAGGGAACCTCCCACAGCTCAAGCTGTCTCATGAAGCTGCACCTTGTGGTGTTTCACTCACCTTTGCAAGGCATATCCATGTACCTATCTTCAAAGATAACTGGGAGCGTGTTCCAGTCCCCGTCTATGTCGAGGCATTCTGCCGGAAGCGGGGGCATGCTGGTGAAATACTCCGAGTTACGAATTTCCGTCAAAATCTGTCCATGACTTTGGATCCTGGCAGCAAAGTACAAAAGAAATGGGAGTGTTTGAGTAGTTACTGTGCTGTTTCTCCATCACTCCTGCCAGCCCCACAGCAAAGCTGGATGTGTAGGCAGAAGACAGAGGCAATGTGCTTGAAAGGAAGGGACAGTAATGTTTGATGAGAGGGTTCCCAGCGCTCCTAGGAGGTCTCCCATCCATCAGATACCTACAACTTGCACACTCCCTCACTGCAAAACCTCTGTCTTTTTCAGAAATTGCTCCAGTTGCTCCTACCACAAGCTCCTGTTAGCTACCATAACTCATTGCTCTCCTCCCAGAGGTCACTGGATCCCTCAAGTAACTTTCCAGTCAGAAAAGAGGTCCACCACTCCGGCTGTGGCAGGGGTTTCAAAACCCAGAGGCAGGAAACAATAATCAAAAATTTGCTTGAGCAGTATAGGGAGGAATGAGGCCAAGAAGGACACGTGTCAGGCCCTCTATCTCACTTATAGCATTCCTCAGAGCACTGCAGTATCCCACGTACGTATGCATCTGGAAGAGCTAAGATACATCAATTCAGGTACTGCCTGTTGACAGAACTAGAATGGCTCTCTGTTTCTGTCTCTTGGGTGATGCAAATTGCCACCTGGCTTTCATCAGGGAATGTGATGTTAAGCTGGCACATGGCTATAGGTTTGGCTATAATAAATAAAATAACTTTTACTTCTGATGAGCTTTCCTATGTAAGCATCTTCCCCAAAAAATGAGGAAAATGTCCAAGTTTGTTTATTTGTGTTGCCTCTTTGATGAATTAGTCTGTTTATCCTAAGGAATAAAGAGGAAGGCAACACGCTTTTCAGAGCTGGTTAGCTGAAAGTAATTCTGCTCAGGTCCCATAGGACAGCACAATGGCAATATTTCAGATCATCATTGGCAGAAGGCAGGTAATCACCACGTGGCAGTTAACTGGAAGAGACACACTTTATACATTATGAAGCAAAACTCAAACAGCAGCTCTGTAATTCAATTGGTCTGTCCTCATGCCAGCATGGAAGATTCCTACGTTCAGACACAAATATCAGCTTCGACTTCAGAAATTAATAGTTGCTGTCTGTTACCTGCAGGCCAGTTATTTTTTCCTCAAAGATAAGCAAATCATCGGTTGCTAAAACGTGACTCAGACAGGAGTCACAACCAGCTAACTGCCCATTATTGCCTACAGCAACACCTGGGAGTTTGGACTTAACTCCTAGCACCGTAATAGGTTCTCACTGACTTATTAATTAATAGCATCAGTGTTTTACTAAAGACAGCATGCAAAAATAATAAATTAAACTTGCTTCGAGACCAATCTCTGGCACAAAAGATGAAACATTGATATAGATAGCTGTGGAAAAATTATTTTTTTCTGTAAAATATTGGGAGGCTATGTCACTTACTAAAGCCTCCTGCCCTGTGTGATACCCAGCCTATTGAAAACGGTGTGTCTTCTGTCTAAATAGTCAAATGCTGCCAGGCATGCACATGTGTGGCCTCACACAGAACTCACAACAGTGTTACAGGATGCAAAGAAAGGCAAGAAGGAAGAAAGAACTTGGAGGGGGAAAACTGTCAGTGTCTGAAGTGGTTGCACAGCACCTGGCAGGCTGAGAGCTGGAGACATCGTGAACCTGATTAATACTCCCTACCACCACCCCCAACATTAATAACACTCTGGCAGCCAAGACTCTGTTTTTCCAACTACATCATCTAGCAAAATCAAGAAAAAAACATGATTCTGCCACGACGCCAGTGTAGACCAAATTTACTACATGGACCAACTTTTATAGTTTGTAAACAATTTTACTTTTTTTTTTTTACTCAGTCTCCTTGCTAATCACTGAGGAAAAATTATGTTTATCTGTAGGAAATGGGCTAGTTCTATGGTTGCCTGGAGAAATAAAAGCACTGCATGCAATTAGGCTCCACCCTGGGCAGGGTTATGTTTGCTTGAATGGGGTCATAAGTGTCTGTGCCCTCACCCCAGGATCCTGACACGGGGTTTTCCTCGTACATAGCTCACTCAAAACCTGACACAGGAGGACTAAGTGAGCACAGCTGGGCCCCTGCGGCCATGGTGCTGCTCTAATTTGGCAGAACGAGGTAGCCTTGTACAACACATCCACTAATGAAGTCATGGCCCTTTCCACCAACACTGAATAAGCCCTAATAGCCCTAGTGACAGCTCTGAGAAAGTAATTTTCTGCTTTGCACTAGGTCAGAAGCAGATGTCTCACTTAAGCCTCATCATCATGACAGGACCTGATGTCACGGCCTTTAAGCCCCTTCTGAAAGATGGGTTTCCATGCTGGTAATGCTGTGGTCCCCACATGGTGACAGGCTGTTTCACTGCACACGACAGTCCTTTATTATTCATAAATTCAAAGCTGAGCATCTTTCTTTGAACTCTGCATTCAGGGGTCAGGTCCTGAGTATCATCCATATGCTTGGGATTATTGGCTAAAACTGAAGGCAGGATTTGCCCTGGTCTAGCTTTAAAACTGACTCCTCATACTGCCCATCTTGGCTCCAAGCAAGAAGTGTCAAGTAGAGGGAAATACTTACCTTGCCAATTTTTTATAGCATATTTTTATGAATGCAGCCCAGTACAACTTTTGTATTCATGGATTATTTTGCACTCTTGATTAATTATTAGCCCTGAGTTCACATCACTTCTACAGCTCTTCCAGCTAATATGGTTGTATTCCCCATTCCCATCTTCAACTGTGGCATCTAATGAACGTTCACAACTTTGCATTGGATGTTTAATCTCCTCGCTGCATCTAAATATTCTTTCTGCTACAGAAAGTAGGGCTGGGCTAAACACCAAAAGAAATCCATGACTGCCTACCCTCAAAAATGTATATTAGGGATGGTAAAAAGCAAATTTTTAAATGTTAAGCTTTTGTTGCTTGTCAGCAGTTATTTCCCATTAAAAGTGAGAGTACGGGATGTGGTACAGTGAGTTTAGGAACTTAATTGAAGAAGGACATCAAAAATTATTTCTGCCTGCCCCAAGGCTGGTGGTGTTAGTAGAGATATGCTCTGAAGAAAAATGCACCCAAATGCAACTGAGATGAGAGGTGGGGAACAGGATCTCCTGCATCATATGCCTACAGTATAGGAATCTTGAAAATAACAATCCCTGGGGCCTGATCAGAGTCACTTTTAACACTGATTTCAATGGTTTTCCACAGAACCAGTGACTTCTCTCAAACTAAATTCCTCCATACGCAGCAGAAAAGACCTCAGTCTTGACTGTAAAATGTTTTAAACTACATTTTCAGTTGTTCCAGTGACGGAAAGGGCAGTGGGTTACTTACAGGCCCTCCTGGAATGTGAGCACAGCGAGCTTCTGGTGCTCAGTGTAGAAGAAGGCTTCTGAGAATCTTCTCACCTGAGGTAGAAACACACAAGTTAAACCTAAGACCTGCTGAAAGGTGCCAAGGACAATCAAGCTAATAACAGAGCAGTGACTGTCAGGCCCAGATTCCTTAGTGGTGTGCTCTGTCTGCTTTGCACCATTCTGGTGACAGAAAGAAACAAAGAGCGAGCTCAATTCTGCTTTACTCTCCCAGTCCCACACAAAGCAGCTCATGTCGTGGTGTATTTTGCTGGGAGGTAAGAAATGTCCCTTGACAGTAAATCAAAATTTGCTTATGTGCATCATCTGACCACTTTTCTGAAACTCCCCATTTTCCCCTGTAAGCTTAAAATTGGGAAGCTTCCTTCCTTTCCCACCATGCAAATCATATGGCAGCAGTGGAGTGAGTTACTAAATTAGAACAATTCATAATTGATCATCTCTTCTATGGGAACATCCACAGCAATTCCAAGAGAGTAAGGGGTGCCTTATACACCAGGCCAGAGGAGAATAAGCCCCATTATGGTAGAAACACATCTGCCCATGTCATGGTACTTACAAATGAGAGCTCTTCAAAACTCTTCATGGACATTAGATCTGTTCAGCATTGGATAATCAATTACAAAGAGCCACAGATCTGAAGTGGCTGGCAGAGCACAGAGTGTGAAATAAGCTATAAAAAATTCAGTGCTGCTATCTGCCCTGGAATAAGCTTTGAGTTTCAATGAATCAAGAGTAATATCCAATCAAATGTACTAAGCTGTTAAACTGCAGCCCATACATTACTAATAATATTTGTAAAAGTGACCTCTGTCACAGTGTCAGAAAATGGTAGCGAAAAGCATATGTCATAGCATCTCCCTAAATCCCAGCTGTGCTTCAGCAAACGACCTTTCTAAAAAAGGCCTAGCATCCCTTCAAAAAGATTGCATTTTAATAGTAAGTCTTTTCATCTGGGGCTCTCAAACTGGTTTCCAAAGGTGGGAAAGTATCATTGCACACGGGTTATATGAGGAGGAACTGAAGCACATGCAGGTATGCAATTTGCCAAAGATCAAGCAGGCAGTCGGTGTCAATTGAGGCTGGAACCACAGGCTCAGATTCACCTTGCAGGGAGCTGGGAGCCTACAGAGCTGGTTCCTTTCCCTGAAAGCCAAAATAACCAGGGGAATCTCAGCATCAGTCACCTCTTCCTGAATTCTATGTCTCCTTTTTGCAAACTCAACCATGTTCTTCGGGAGAGCAACCAGAACACTTTTCTTGTTACTCTGGAGAGTAACTGGACCTCCACTGACTTTGACAGGAACCAGAACATAAGCTGAGATGTCAATATCTACACTGTAGATGCCTAAAGCTAAGCAAGGTGAATCCTACCCTTTTCTTTAACGATTAGATCAGACTATGAGTTCAGCTCAGGTGATGTGCTGATGTCTGGTCAATAACCAAAAACATCCTAATGGAAGACACGGCACTTTCTGAACTAATCAGATAAGCAGATCTGACAAATTTAGCTCCAAAGACAAGTGCTTTTGTGCCTTCTTTATTATTGACCACAATACAAGAAACAATTTCCACATGAACAATGTTAATATTTTGTTGTGTGCACTTCACTAGGAGAAAGGCAAGAACTAGCTATATGTATATATATATATGATATAGTGAAGAGAACAAATCTATATTTCTCATGGTAGTTTTGTAAAAGAAGTTTAGATACATTTTCTTCTGGTTATTTATCATTGTGATGCTTGTGCTTTTCAAAACAAATGTTTATGATTTATGGATATCTAGCACATACAAGCTACCTCTTCCCACCCACCTCCTCTTCCATGTCAGATTCTGGTGTTCAAAGTGCACTCATTTTACATAGGATCCCAGCTCCCATAAAAACAATGGCCTTCATCTCAGAAATGGAAATCTGTAATTTCAAATTTCAAACCTCTTCTTCACCTCTTGTCCTGCTCACCCTATCTCCAGTAAATACTCATATGGGCAGATTAGTATTGGAAATATATACCCAGATAAATCATTAATATCTATCAGGAGGTTGCCATTACTGAATTTGCTTTTAACTTCTCAACATTACCCTTAGCATGTGATGTTCCTGAGTCAGATAAGCTGTGACTTCTGGATGGAGAGTTGCCACCTCCAGGAACTGGGTCCACAGGGCCAGAAGGTGGGAGCAAAGCCAGGCAAGATCCTTGCTTATCTGTTCTGCTATCTTCTCCGGATTGCTCAGAAGCTGGAGGAGAGAAAGGACATTTTGAGATCAAGACAGTGTCATGAAGGAAAATCAGTTCGTAAATCAGATTAAATCCTTTTAGGAACAACAACAACAAAATTTCCTCTTGATTTAGAATTACTGTTAAAGTTATGCTTTATTTTACCTCAAATAAAGCTGGTGAGACTTTTGCTTTTACTCTTTAAAAGCCACATATTTTAGCACAAAGTGTCTCAGTCACACAATTGCAGAGCAAGGAGTGGGAACAGCCTCAACTTTTGCGGACACTTTACTGCAGATGTAGTAACTGGGAAAAAAAATCAAAGAAAGCAGGGTCCAAATTATCCACCAGATGGTGCTGGATGCTCTGAAATAATAAACCATGGCCCGTTGTCTCCTTTCTGGTAGCATAAGCCTTCTCAGCCATGTCACACTGGGATACCAGATGGGCGATTAGGAGGGGTGGGGGGACGAACAACAAACCCCAAATGAAAACACTGTGTCCTCAACATGATGAAAACAGACATCCCAGAATCTGCTGTTGCTTCTCTCCCACAATTGGAGATGCTGGGGCCCTCCCTGCCCCCCAGCTCTGGGCTAAAATTCTGCTTTAAAGCTCTGCAGCTCAAGAAGTGCATGTCAGCAGCAAAGTCTCTACTTATCAATCTCCCCAGTTTCACAATTTCTTTAACAAGAGACAGACATTGCATTTTACCTCCATGTTTTGGTACAAAGAGCACAGAACTGAACCTTCATCTACTCCTAGAGTCCTTACATGCTTCCATGAGACAGGTAATACTACCAGAAATATTCCAGAAAAGATACCAGAGGAATCACTTATCAGTTCTTGGCCGGTTTGTTTGTTTTGATTTGGTTCATTTTGTTTTTGCTTTTTTTTTTTTTGTTAGGGCTGTAGTCCAGCTAAAAGCCTGCTTATTTTTCACATTTTATTATGCAGGTAGTTTCCAGATCGGTGACAGTGCAAACTAAGACATGATTAAAAGCAAATTGTGTGAGAGAGACAGAAACAGAGAAATTGTGTGCGTGGACAACACAGATACTGTCAAAGAGTTTACACTGTTTGGATGGTATTTGTTTTTAACAACTTGTAAAAAATGGCACAAGCTCCAGTATCCATTCTGGTACTGGAAAAATCAGAGATAAAAAGTCCTTCCCAAACATTTCTCTTTGCAGAGGCAGGGCACTACTTTATTTACTGCGTTCAATTTTATATGCTGTATGTCAATTTAATTTTTTTTTTTTTATTTATTTACAGAATCATAGAATGATATGGGGTTGGAAGGGGCTTCTGGAGATCATCTAGTCCAACCCCCCAAGCCCTGACTCATTTAGTCAGTAAGCTGCCTCTTACACCATAAACTGAAAGCACAGTCTTCAAAGAAGACGCATTATTAACGCAATACCAGGAATAGGTGTATGATGGCTATTTTTCTAGTTTATTGGTTCTTAACCTTTTGAACATATTAGAAAGGAAGCCAGGAAGGCAAGAAGACAGGAAGGAAGGACGGCAGGAAGGAAGGCAGGAAAAGACAATGCCTACTTTAATTGTGAGACCCTTCCTGCACTGCCACACACAGGACAAGAGCTGGGCAGCGCCAGCGACACGGGTCATATCCCAGGGACTCAGCTCCTCAGAGCAAACCCCAGCAATTAAAATGATCATCAACTATGATTCTGGCTACTCCACTCACCTACCTGCCGCTGGGCTGTGACTGACTGTGACTGCCCCTTTCAAGCCCCACTCAGGTAAGCCTGGCTTTAACAATACCGTCACATAAAACAAACTGAGAGGGTTTTTTGAGGAGTTATTTGTTGCCAAATCAATCACAATTACAAAAATACTTCCCTCCCACTTTCTCCTGCATTGAGTATCTGCTGTGTTCTTGGGCTGAATACAAAGCTACGGCAGGTTAAACTCGCTTTGTTTTCTTCTTTTGTTTATATTTAATTTTAAAAATGGACCTGGTTCTGGCAACGCAGTCGTAATGGGAGACTGCGCCCACAGGCTTCTCTTGGTATGGTTTTTAATAGCATTTTCTTCCTTTAGAAATAACTGGTTTTCCTATGTTCTGCTGAAAAGAAATGGCTTCAGTTTACATAGTCCTAGAGGCAAAATGCAGGGAGAACATTGCCACCACTAATCTGTACACCATAGAGAGGTAGATGTGACTTCAGCAGTTACTCTGCAGGGATGGTCGATGCGGAGCCTGTGCCCCACCAGTACCATACAAGAACTCAGCATTTATGTCTTGAGATTGTCTGCAAATTCACTGTCTTTATCATCAAATTATGCATAGATGGATCAAACCTATCCTCCCAGGGTGCTAAGACAAAAAGTTTTCATGGTGTACAGGAAAAATGAAGTTTTTATAACAGCTGAGCAGCTGTTCTAGTTGTTGTGTTCACCTGTCGTTACGCTGTTCCCAGCAGCTACCAAACGACAGTCAAAGCACTGAGGCTTTATTAACATTGTCATGGAAAACAAGTCAATAAGGTTTTGGGGAGAAGAAGAATTGGACAGGAATTAGAAAATACAGAGAAATTAATGCTGGCATTTTCTGATGCATGCCAAGCCAATTTGGACTTTCCCAGACAAATAGAAAATTAATCCAAAGGAAACATACGTAGATTGTATGGTGTGGCCTCCTGTACCCTTACAGCATTTAAATCCAGTAGAGTTGAGCCCAGTAAATTATATTTTCTCTAAATCGAATTTATATTAAATCAGATTTCTTGCAAAATATCTAGGTTATGACTTTAAATTTAAAAATTTGCTATCTCAAATATTTTTCACCTATGGCCGACAAAAATTAGCCCACCATTCCTAACTGGAGTGTGAGTGTGCTTCCAGCTTGGTTTGGCTTCAGCTTCTCTCTGTTAATTGTTATTTTGTAATTCTTCCTTATGTTGTCACTCCTGCTAATAAACTGAGCAAATCAAATCTATTAAATCTCTGATTATAAAGCATTTTCCCCAGTGATCAGCTGACGCTTGCATTTTTTCCTGGTACCATTGATGACTTGTTTGCATATCACTTGAAATAAACACGGCAGAAGCGAGTTCAAGAGAGTAGTTCAGTTGCTTCTGTGCCAAAATCGCTTTTTTCTTCCCATGAGCCTCCCTACACATTTGGGTGCTTTTATTGGAAAAGATGTGGTTGTACAACCTACCAAAGGACCTTTCCTCCTCCTTGCTTAAAACCTACCCCCAAACCATTTTTGCTACTCAGGGCTAAGCTGCCCTGCTCAGGGTTAAAGCAACCCAGCTGGTGACTTGTTAAAAGTGACAGAAACATCTTGTAAGTGACTAATCAAAATCATGTGAAATTGTTGGTGGAAGAGAAACATTCAACAAACTTTTTATTGGCACCAAATTTCCCTTTCTCCCCGCTCTGATGTGTGACTGGGCTGTCTCATTGCACTCGAAAAATGGACTTGAAAAACGTGTGGGCAGATTCTGTTGAAGAAAATACCTGCAGCTCCGTACACAGCTGAGATAACGTCTCCTCCACAGATAGCTCCTCTAGGGAAAAAAAACCACAAAGACAGACATCAGGTTTGAGAACAATAAACATGAAATGTTAATGATCTGCTGTTTATTCATGTGAGAAAGAGATCATTTTATATTCTTCCCTGACAGACAAGTTTCTGTTTGGATGGGGGCACTCCACAACCCACCTTGTACTGGTGCAGGTACAACTTCTGCTCGTTTAACCTGGACCACTAAACCTGTAGAAGTTCTGGAATGGTGTCAGGACAAAGACAACAGAATGTAGCTTTTCTTTTACTAGAAGTTTATGTATTAGCTTTTGATATTTATGGCCAAATCCAGAACTGGAGTCCCACCAGCCTCCGTGCTGCCTTGTGCACTGTGTAGGACCTCTCCTTTCCTACAGCAAAGCAGTCGTGCTTTGAGGTAGTCCTGAGAGAATCCAGCACAGGAACACTCCACTTTAAATGCACCACAGACTATAAGGCAAAAGAGGACATAAATCAACTCTCCAGCTTTGGCAGCTTGATTTTCCAACGCGGAACTTTCTAATAGTATCCGTAAAGAAACAAAGAAGAACAACCAAGAGGTCACTCCCCTCTCCAATCCCCAAATGACTCTTCTTAAATAATACTAAAGAATGGAAAATGACAGATGGAGATGGGTAGTGCCTTGAAACGACCCATCCTCAGCTGATCAAATTTGGGAAACAATCATTCCCACTTTTAATGTCTAAACAAGGCTATTGTTTTTTTAATATGCTACTGAGGGAGGTAAAAAAAAAACCAGACTTAAGAAAGTCTGCAGAGATTTATAGTCTTGGATTTATCTTAACTATCTTTAGAAACCTATGACGAGATTAATCTGACCAATAAAGATGTTTACAACTGAATGAGTCATGTACATTCTCCCCCTGGTCAGTGGAGAAAAATGAGTGAATACAAGGTGCAGTTCATGCCATCCCAAGGCAGAAAGCACTACTTGTCAGATAACATATTTTATTGTCCTAAATGGGCCTGTTTCTTCCCAATGATTGTAAGGAGACAGATACAAAAATTTACTTCATATTTATCATACTGGGTGAATCTTACACCCCATGATTTTGCTAAGCTTTGCAACAGGCATCAGAAGATCAGCCTTAAAACTAAATCTTCAGAAGATTTTCAGACTGAATAAAATGATGCAAATAGCACTTTGCTCAAGAGGCTAAAAAGGGTATTTGAATTTAGCAAATTTGCATGCGTTACAACAAGTACATTTGCAAATTAAGTGCCTGCTTCAGTACCAGTAGTCATTTGAAAACCAAGCTAATTGTATTTAGAAAGCCCATATGTGCTCTGGTGTAGTTCGAGTTATGGTCAACCAAGCATACATAACTCTGCCATCTCCCAACCTATAACCTGTGCAGGTGAGACACAATTCATCTATTATATCTGCCTGATAACCAGGATGCCTGAAGCATGAGTTTGGCTGCATGTTGGATTCTGTCCAAGAGCTCATAAATTGCAAATAAAAACGCTGTAATTTATTTCTTTTCTTGTAGCTGGACTGAATAACACAGTATGTGCTCTTACCACCCTAGGAGTTTTAGGTTATCTTGAAGGGAAATAGATGCTGGGGAGCAAGACATGAAGTGGAAAATAGGAGCTATAAAGCCCATAAGTCTGTAAAGTACAATGTATTATGTTTGATAGTTCTTGTATACAAGCATTACGCAGTGAAACTGGAAAATGGTTTTTACTCCCTTTTTAAATCTGCTGGCCAATGCAATCAACTCTCCTAATATAATTATCTCTGCAACATAACAAACAGATAACTTCAAAACCTGTACTCAGAAATACAAAGACAGAGAAACACAGATGTGAAATCATGAGCCACATTCCCTGAATTCAAAGAAACAGGTGGGAGAGCAGGAATTAGTCAGGGATGCGCCTCATTTTCACAGGAGCTCCTGCTGTCATTACAAACATGACTAAACACAAATTACAGAGCTCTTTCACGCAAACCCAGCCAGCCAGCACTTGCACATTGAACCCAACAGGCCTGACCAGCCAAAAAAAGCTTATGCCAAAACCAGAAAATCTATTAAACAATCGCATTAGGAAGAAAAACAGAATCAATTTTAAAAGCAAGTTGTAATTATGCAATTGGCAGGGAAGAAATACATTGCAAATTGTAAATGAGGGAATATGTTTCAAAAACACTCATATCACCTTTCAGATTCTTCTTTTCAGTTTTTAAAAATATGTTAGAGTCTTCCCCAGATCTCATGGCAATTCAGAACTGAAGTTGAAGTCTTCAAAAAGTGTCTGAGACCAAAAATCACCGAAAGGCAAGTGTTTTGAGAAATTTATCAAAACATTTCACCCCTCTACACAACAGGCCACCTTCAGTTCCTAAAAAAGGATGTACATAAACTGAGAAGGCATTTAACAGTGCACCAAAAAAACCCACTAATCAGAAAACTGGGATAAACATCCTCTAAAATCTATGAAAAGCCCAAGAATTTTGGGACTAAAATGTGTATTCAAAATGCAGCGTTTTACAATCTTCAGTGATTTTAAATGTCAGTTCACCTACCCAACTTCAGCTGTGGTAAATCAGGAATCTCCTTCATTATGAGGGTGTAGTACACGTGAAGTCCTCTTTGAGCATTCAAGAGCAGAAGGCAGAGGTCCTTATGCCATTTGTACGCGTGCTGCATGCAGTTTTCAGATGGGACGTAAAAGCTGCCCTGTGCAACAAAAGATCAAGAAAATGAAATACAGAGATTAAAATTCATGGTCTCCGTTTGTCCTAAAGGTTTCCACAAAAATCCAGTTGTGGGCAGCCTTTCATTTCTAATCAAGCAGATGGCAACAAAGCGAGATTCTAAGCACCCCTACCTCCTAGCTACCTAACCAGCTACATGTGTAACCATAATACTACCTCATTTTACATTTATATTTTGCCCAAACCACACCGAAACTATTAGCCCCCAGCAAACAGTGTCACATGTACAAAGACCCTCAGTTCAAACAACCCAAGAGAGAAGCCCAGCTCTGTCCTTCACACTCGTCCCACTGTGGAGTCAATGTCTCCCCACAACATAGGTACTGCTGTGCAAAAACACATCATCTCTGGTACAGCAGGAGGGGTGGAGAGGACTACAAGGATGGCTACATTCACTTTCCTTTTTCCTCTTATCCCCTTCTGCAAAGGTTGTAACTTGATGGCATAGGGGTATGCTTTGTTATGAGTATTAGTGAAAAAAATGCGTATCAACTAATTTGAGCCACTCTGTACCATAGGATCAATGTCTGGATTAGTGTATCTCTTGTGGGAGGAGATGTAATTAGGCAGATCACAACATGTTTAATACAAAAGTTTCCCAAAAAACACATTTACACTTAGAACATAAGGTGAGTTTGCATTAGGGTGCTGTAAATCAAAAGTTTTCACTTCTGTCAAAAGACACCTCTTGTATAAATTACTCATATTTGAAATTTCTACTGCTTAGATTGAAAATGAAACAATTTATTAATCTGTGGTTTTGTGCCCAGAATTTCATGGAGAGTTGGAAGGAGTAGTATGAAAACTATCAATAACAGCTCATATTTCTGTGGTTTCTGTACACATCTTACTTTTTATCCAACGATGCAGTAGAAAAGTGTGCGAGCACTTGCAATGAGCAGTTATATCTGGTGGTTGTTCCCTCAGACAGGAGTAAATTATCTGTACTGCAGGAGGAGAAAGGGTTATAAAAACAGAGCAGTGAGAAAACCACCAAAGTGCTCTGTCCTTGAACTCTATGAAACAATTAAACAGAGAATATGTCTAGATCTCCTTTTTACAGCATACGGGCTGCACAAAGGCACCAGGACAGGACTCTCACTGTTGCATGACTATGGAGAAAATGAACAATCAGCACTACTGATCACTGATGGGGTAAGAATACAATTCCTGCACACCAACTAGGTTCTGACAGACCTTTTGGACCCTGACAGTCCCAACAGCTATGCATCTCCAGAAGCAATAGTAAAGACTCACCAACCACGCACCAGCGTCCCTCCTGTGTTGTTAGAATCATAGAATTGCCTTGGTTGGAAAGGACCTTTCAGATCATCTAGTCCAACCATCCACCTAACACTGACAAAAACCATTACTAAACCATATCTCTAAGCACTACTGTGTCTACCCGTCCTTTAAATACCTCCACGGATGGTGACACAACCACATTCCTGGGCAGCCTGTTCCAATGCTTAATAAACCTTCAGTGTGAAAGTTTTTCCTAATATCTAATTGGTCCCTCCCCTGGCGCAACTTGAGGTCATTTCCTCTTGTCCTATCGCCTGTCACTTGGGAGAAGAGACCGACCCCCACCTCTCTACACCCTCCTTTCAGATAGTTGCAGAGAGCCATAAGGTTTCCCCTCAGCCTCCCATTTCTCCAGGCTGAAGGACCCCAGGTCCCTCAGCTGCTCCTCATAAAACTCCCCAGACCCCTCACCGGCTTTGTTTTTCCTTTGACTTTCTTAAAGCCTACATTTCATGCCTCTCAGCTGGAGCTGGGATGTTTTTCTAAGCTTTCTCATGCAAATCTTCAAGATGTTAACTAGCATTCTGTGGTAGATACAAAGGGAACTGCTCCTCTTGACCCACAAGATGATGATGATGATAATTGAGGGAGGTGGTTGTTCTTGGAAGGTTTCAAAACCTCCAGCCTCAGCATGAATCTATTTTACTCTCACCATGGAATATAGAAAAAAAGGAGCATAAAGCAATGCTGCTGGAAACAATAGAAAATGGGAAGTGGATTGATATACAATGTCATGAAAAAATGTCCTCTTTTATAATCCGTTGCTGAATTTTTTTAGGCAAAAATTACTCTGGCATTTAAATGCTACAATGACAAGCAGAAGAAAAAATGTGAGATAATTTCACAGTTCATATCAATACTATAATGTGGCATTGTTGTGCAAGACTACACTTTAATAGGTCTATTTTCAGCCTTTCTTGGCATACATTACTGTTTAAAACTAAAAATAAGAAGTAATAGCGAAATGCAACTGCAAGTGCACTCAAAAAATGTGTGAATTGAAGGTTTTGAAAATCTGTTTTAAATTCTTTAGTACTTGCCCGCTTTTCTTATTGCTTTTTCAAATTTGACCTCAGTTGAATTAATGAAAATTCTTAGACACCAGATAGCTCAACTTACCGAAGCACAGGGTTTAGAAGGGTACACTTTGCAAAGATTTACACAGTAGTAGAACACAGAATGGGGAAAGAAACATTATAAAAAACCACATAAAAACCAAACTGGCGCAGTCCAGGCCATGCCACGGATGAGTAAGAGGCCACATCATTAAGCTGAAGGATTTTGATGAAACTGTTAAATGACAACTGACTTTGAAACCCTGTTGCTTAACAGGAACATCCATCCTAATTTGAAAAATCATCTTGTCAAGGTGGAAAGTGAGCGTGATTGGTAGAAAAAAGACACCAAGCTCCAAATCTCTGGTCCCTCAGTGACTTAAAGACATTACTGCTCTCACAGGACCGCTTCTTCTGAAAGTTGTCACACACACAGAGGAGGTAGAGCAGGACACAACAGCAATTATCAAACCCACCTCAGAGACAGTTTAAGCTAATGTGAACTAGGGTCTGAGCATCCTCATCTGCAGGGATTCCAGCAGGACAGGCATCTGTCAGATGATGCCAATACAAACTGCTTCAGCTAAATCAGCTTATCTGTCACCATTCAGTAAGATGAGAAATGTCAAGAAATGTCTTCCTTGGGGATGGCCTGAAGATTGTAAATGTTCCACATTTGTGATTTTAATTGCACCTTCTTCTGTGCATTTATTTAGGTGGTCCCTTACTTCCTAGGTTATAGCCTGAAACAGACACTCAGCCTACAACACTAACAAATCAAGTTCAGTAACAAACACGATACATACTATTTTAAGGAAAAACACTGCTGTAAAACTAGCAGTCAGGAAAACCAGTGGTTTTGACCCGTTAAACAGCTACAAAGTGCTCAGCTCTCCGGGTTTCTCGAATCAGGAGGACAGACATCTTATATCCCAAAGAGTTTACTTCTGGTTAAAACAAAACTCCTATTAAAACCAAAGTTCACACTGAAGCTGACGTTGCCAGCTTGTGCAAAGCATGATGGCTGCCCTGGCCTTGTAATATCCATTGTAAAATTACAAGTTAGCTTCCTTTGTAAAGAACCCCATGACCTTTTGAGTTACTTCCTTTGGACTGTTATTTTAATCTCATTAGTTTGTAGGTAGACAGATTTTTCTATGCTAGCCGTAAAATGCACCTGCATTGATTTCCTTTTCCCAGACCCCCTCCTGTCTGTAAGAGCAGACTGTAACCCCCCTGTAACCCCCTGACTGTATCTCTGGCTTTTGCCTTTTTCTACTTCTGAAAATTTTGGGAGCAAACGAATGCCTGACAAACCTTCATTTCAAGACTTACCACCTAAAGGTATTCTGATAGCAATGATGGATGACAACACAGAAACTAATAGTACTGACACCAGAGAAAAGTATGACTTCTATTGTGCCAACATCATCAGAGACCACATAGATCAAAAAAGCCAAGACATGATGGAAAAAGAGGCAGTCAAGAAAACAATGCAAACAACTGCAAATAATGCTGATAACTGCAGACTCTGCAGTGATTTGCTTAAAGAATTGTTGCTGGGGTGTTTTTTTCCTGTGATGTTTGAAAGAACATCAGCTGTATTGATCCTAGACTATAAAAAAATAAAAAAAAGTTGTCCCATCAGCTGTCAAATGAGATTATTTTCTAGCGCCTATTTGATGAACTCAGCAAAGATTCCTTTCTTGGTTGAGCAAGTTACCAGCAGAGAGGTAGGCATATTACCAGGACTGAACTAGTCCTGTGAGTATTAGACTTGAAAAGATGGAGACAAGGAGGATAATAAGGTTGTACTTTGGCTAATTTCCAATAAAAAATGTATATTTTGTGCTCCCCAAACTAAAAGCGAAGCATCAAATTGAGTGTATTAGACTGAAAGTAAAAGTAAAAGCAAAAGCCTTTTCCTTATCCTTGATCACTATTTTACCACTTCCCATATAATAAAGGACTACCTCCCAAGGGACTTTGTCAACCAGGCTCCTAAATAGGCCAAAGCTTGCCCTTCAGAAGTCCAAGGCACTAATTCTGCTACCCCCCTTCTTACTTCTACGAGAATCAAACCCACTATCATTTCACAATTGCTGTACTCAAGACAGCCTCCAACCATCACATCACCCACAAGTCTTTCTCTGGTCACAAACAACAGGTCCAGCAGGGTGCCTTCTCTAGTCAATTCAGTCACCAACTATCTTACACACACTCCACGAACCTCCTAGATTGTCTCCTCTCTGATATATTGTATTTCCAGCAGATATCTAATAAGTTGAAGTCACACATGAGAACATGGACTAGCAATTGTGAGACTTCTCCCAGCTGCATAGAGAATACTTCATCTGTCTCTTCGTCCTGGTTGAGTGGTCTATCACAGACTCCCACCATGACATCTGCCTTGTTGGCCTTTCCTTGATTCTTACCTGTAAACACTAGACCCTTTCATCACCATTGTCAAGCTCTAGACAGCCAAAACAGTCCTGAACATACAGTGTCACCCCACCACCTGTTTCCTTGCCTAACTCTTCTAAAGAATTTATAGCCATCTATCGCAGCACTCCAGCCGTGTGAATCATCCCACCATGTCTCC